CATTTCTGTGACTGAGCGCCTCAGCACCCAGCTGGGGAGTGTAACTCAGTCACCCATAAGGTTGGCCTCCCACAGTCTATTTTTATGTTTTCTTATTTGTTTGCAAGCAATATATTGTGTATATTTTTGTTGAAAATACCCTTTACTATTTGCTTTTTGCATCTATTTTTTTTTTTTGTAGCTCTCTGATGGGCATTTTTTAAAGGTTTGATTTCATTTTAATTTTTTAAATATTTTTTAGTCATTAATAGACATTTATTTATTTATTTTTTATTCATTCATTCATTAATTCATTTATATGTGGTGCTGAGAATCAAACCCAATGCCTCACACCTGCCAGGCAAGTGCACTACAGCTCAGCCCCAGGCCCAGCCCCAGCCCCTAAAAGTTTCAGTTTAATGAAATCAAAGCATTCATTTCCCCACCCCTCTTGTTGTTTCCTTTATTGCATTTGTGCTTTCCAAAATCAGGACAAGATATGTAATAATATATTGACCTAGTTATTGGCTTCATTTCTAACATAAAACTTTTAAATGCATGTGAAAAAAAAATTTATTGTAGGAAGTAATTTTTTTTGTATGAATATAATTTTTCCCCAAAATTATATTTATGCAAATTTTAGAATAACTATTCCTTTATCTATCACATCTGATGCCACAGGGCTGTGTCTCCATTGATCCATGTGAGGCATTTCTCTTTATTTACAGTTTTTATCTTCCTCACTGATTTCACTTGTATTTTATATACTCAATAGGCCCAGCTTTCCATATAGTCCTGGAATAATATGTATGAAGTGCATTCGTATGAAGTGCATTGTTTGTTATATGTGTTCAAAATGTAATCTGTAGGTAAAACCCTACAGATTATTCTGTTTCCTACTGCTCTGTTTTTCTAGGTGCTATAGTGTGGGCCTTAAATGTCCTCCAAAGGCTCATGTGTTGAAGGCTTGGTCTCCAGATGTGACATTATTGGGAGGTGGTGGAACCTTTAACAAGTGGGGCCAGGTGGAAGGAAGTTAAGTTGCTGGGGGGGGGTGCCCTTGAAAAGAATGTTGGAACCCTAGCCCCTTCCTCTCTCTTTGCTTCCCAGATGCCATGAGGAGAACATGAACTCCCACCATGTTGTACGACAGTGCTACGGGCTCAAAGCCACAGGGACACGCAACCCTGGACTGACATCTCTGAAACGGTGAGCCAACCTGAAATTCACCCCTTTTAAATTGACTGTCTCAAGTATTTTGTTTCACTGATGACATAACGCCTGGGGGTGTGTCTCTTTTGTTTGTCTTTTCAGATAATGCCTCTTTGGTTTAACAGTCGTCACTATTTTATTTCCGTGGTTACCTTTATTATTTCTTTCCCTTATACTTTTCCCTGGGCTGACTCATTCCCCACCCCTCCAAGTTCACAAAATTAAGAGTTCAGCTTATTCTTTTTCAACTTCTTGTTTTATCACAAATGTGTTTAAAACTATAAACTCTCTTTTTTGGGGTATTACCTTGTGAATCATATTTCTTTTATATAGGATGTTCAGTGTTGCTCAATTTTAAGCATGATTTTAATGTTTCTTGTAATTTCTGCTTCAACCCTAGGGGTTACTTTAGTAGAGTATATTTTGTCTTTCAGACATAAAGATTAAGTATCCTCTTTTTTATGGATTTCTAATTTTATCAGAACAATATTGGTAAGATGTTAGCTTTTTGTAATTTATGAAGTTTTATATTTGTGATTAATTTTTATAAGTGTTCTATATTTGCTTGGAAAGAATATATGTTTAATTTTATTCCTTTTTTTCCCAAATGATCCATACATTTATTGCTTTTTTTTTTCTTTTTTATTTTTTTTGGTTTATCAGTCTCTGAAAAGAATGTGTGAAATATCCAACATTGTATGTACCTTGTGCTTCTTCCCATAGCTCTGCCAGCTGTTGCTTTATTAAGTGGAGAGATGTTTATAATTATTATGGTTTATTAAACTTTGTCCCCTTTCTAATGCATAATGTCCCTTTTTATCCTTTGTTTTTTTTTTGGTCTTATATTCTACTTTGTCTGACCATAAGAGTTTCTGAGTCATTTATTTTCCTTTATATTTTGTTTATTTTGTAACATGCTTCTTTATTTATGTCTCTTTTTAAAAGTATTTTCAAATAATCTTTGTATGACAAACCTTCTGAGTCCTTTTTATTGTTTATTTCACATGTCCATACAAAGATAGTTTAGCTGGATATAAATTTCAACATAACTGCATTTAGGTGTTTTTTCCCCTTAATTTTGTGTGGCATTCTATGAGAACTTTCAAGCTGAAAATATTTTCTGAATTCTGGTAATTCTCTGACATCCCTTTAAACATATTCTGCCCTCTGTGTGTTCTTTTTTTTTTTCCTTTTTCCGGTACTCCTATTGTATAGTGTTGACCATTTTATGTCTATCCTCCTGATTTCTTAAATTTCTTTTATATTCTCATCGTTTTATTGCTTCTGGGTGTAATACAGCTGCATTCATCAAACTCAATCTCCCAGCTCAGCAATATATTCTTCACGCCTATTTCTTGGGTTGGTCATCTCAGTTATTGGGTTGTTATTTTTTAAGCTCTAAGAATTTTTTTGTAACCAGGTTTTCCACTTGGTTCTTCCTTACTCTTGGTTCTTAGGTCATTTTGCTAATATTGCCTCTCATTGGTTTGAAGATTTTGTTCTTATCCAGCATTTGTTAGTCTTGTCTACATGAGTCTTAGTTTTGTTCTTTTTGGTTGGATTTCTTTTATAGTGGTATTCTTCCGGTATGTCATCTCTTCCCTGTATCGTTGGGCATCTATTCCCCTGGGAACATTAGTTTCCATCGTTGGCAATGTGTACCTGGGAGTGGTGAGGTCTTGGGTTGTGGTGGGGTTGGGTCCTGGGAGTGGGCGGGGCTCTCTTGGCTCCTTCTCCCAGGTTGCTAATAGAAACAGGTTTTTAATCTCTCCTCAACAGGGGAATTTTTTTTTTTTATCCTCTTCTATTAGTACGTAACTATGTATTTTTTGATCAGAAACCTTCTATTCTAGCTGGACACACAGAAGTGACATCCTGGGCTCACTTGAAAAGACAAGTAAATCAATCTTCGTGTGAGCTCCCAAGAGCATTTATCGAAGGGAGGGCAGGTCCTGGAGTTTGAAATCAAAACCTCAGGTGATAAAGCGGGCAACGATTGGAGGAGGGATTCTTAGAAAAGCGATTTCCTTCACCGTAGGAGAGAATAACTGATGTTGAGAAAAACAGCAAAATTTCATGTGTGGTTCTGACGATAGCTACAACCCCTGGGCGGGCATCCTGTATTCTTCAGCTTATAACAAAATACCTAAGAGAAAATCAACTTATAAAGAGAAAAAGGTTACTTTGGCTTACAGTTTTGGAGGTTCCAGTCCATAGTTATTGGCCATTTTGCTTTTGGTCCTAAAGTAAGGCAGCACAGCAAGCTGGGAGCATGTGGTGGAGCAAAACTGTTTGCCCATGGCCAGGAAGAAAAAGAAAGGAAGAAGAGGACGGGCCTGGGTCCTATAGACCCCTTCTGGGGCATACCCTCTCTAGTGACTTAGCTCATTCCCACTAGGCCCCACCTCTTAAAAATTCTACCAGATCCCAATAGCACAACCACAGGAACCAAAATTTCAACACACTCACATTTTGGGGATATTCAAGATCCAAGCTACAGCATATCCTAGTGTCCTTAGCCTCAGTGTTTTCATCTGGCAAAGGGGGCCCTGACACTGACCTCAGACTATAGTTGTTAGAAACCACCAGATAACGTGTAAGGAGAGTTTCAAGCTCCATGCCCAGTCCTTAATTGATGTTTAATAAAGTTCAGTTTTGGCAAATCCTCAATCATTTTCTTTTTCACTGGAAAGTTAGAAGTATGGGGCAAGAAAATGAGTGCTGGCCAGTTCCAGTGAGTGTGAACGCCTTTACCTTTCATTTACTATTTTTTTCCCTGCTTCTATTCCAGCTGTGTTTCAATTATTGCAAGTTAGGAACACCCAATCTGCAATCCCTTAGGTACAAGGGAATCTGAAATTCAAGGAATCCTTTCCCACTGTTCCCGAGTACTTGAGTCCAAGCCTTCTTCCTTCTTGAATGTTCTCCTTTTGTCAAGTGCCCTGGTCCTAGAATGCAGAGAAGAGGAGGGAAGTGAGGTGCGCGTTGTATGCAAACCTTCACAGCTTCTATTCTAGGTGTTCTGTGGTGACTTTTCATTATCTGTTTTTTTCCTCTCATTCTTCTACTCTTCTCCAACAAAACAGCTGCTATTGTCAGCTTTTCTCAGTCCTACTCTTGTGAACATTGGGGACCATTCTGTTGTCAAAATCTGTGCAGCTGGCTCCCGGCTAGTATTTTGTAATCTATTCTGAAAAGTTTTATAGCCCCTGGTTTTTCAAGCCAGCTGTGTTTCCCATGTTAGAGATAATTGTGGGCGATGGTCAAGGCTTGGCCCAGCCCTGCACTCCCTCTTTCCTTGTGTCTTTGAAAGGCACAGAGAATTCAGATTCCTAAGGTTGATAGAATCTGACCATTTAGAGCTTTTCTGCTCGGTGTGACGATTGTCCTCGTGTCTACCTCATTTGTGAGCACCGATTTGTCCTTGAAATCTGTGTGATTTATTATTCTGATATGTGCGGGTGTTTTCTAAGTTGTCTTCTATTTTTATTTCTTTGCAAATGACCCTTAAGGAGTTCCAGACTTTTGACTGGGCACCAGACTTTAAATCTCAAGGACCAATAAAAAAGGAAAAAAAAAAGGGGGGAGGTCGGGGAAAACATTGTATTTTGCCATGTGTATAAGAGGAGGACAAATGCCATCTTCTGTCATAATCATTTCATTAAAGGTTATTTTAACATCAAAACTTGAAATAAAAGAAAGTCCCTTCAGTTGGTTGCACTTAAGAGAAACTGGCTACATGGTTCCTATTTCTTTCTTGGCTGGGGACTAGTAAAAACTTTCAAAACAACACTTGGGGAGCTGGTGATGTGGCTCAGTGGTAGAATGCTTGCCTCCCATGTGAAAGGGCCAGGGTTCAATCCCCCAACACTGCAAAAGAAAAAAGATATTTGGGAAAGACCCCCTTAAGGGGTTCCACCCACTCTTTTTATTTTTAATGTTTAGTTTTTTAGTTGTAGCTGGACACAATACCTTTATTTTACTTATTTATTTTTATGTGGTGCTGAGGGTCGAACCCAGGGCCTCGCATGTGCTAGGCGAACACTCTACCGCTGAGCCACAGCCCCCGCCCCATCCACCCTCTTTCAACAGTTTGCTCTGAGCCCTTTCCGTTCCCCTGAATCCGCCAAAGGTGCCCCCAACCGGCCCCCTCCCCCCCCAACCCAACAAAAATTAAAAAACCTTCCCCAAGCAAAGCCTCAACGCCAACCCGGAGAGCCTCTGACCATCAATTCTTAGCCTGGGTGTCAGAGGAGCTGTTGATAGAGAAGCCCCGCAGAGGCAGCAGCTGTTAGCTCTGAGAAAACACAGCCGCTGTGCACCGTTGTTCCAGAGTTATCTCATCATTCATTGTGCACAAAGGTGGCTTCCAGAGTTCTCCTTCATCCTTGTCCTTCTCCTCACCCACGCTGTGGGGACCCAATGCCTTTAATCTTGGTGCCATTACTCAAAGCCTTGGCCATTTGTCTTGCTTCTCTCCAGGGCTTTCTGCAAAGCGTGCGTCAGGCTCTGGAGTGTGGTCCAATGTCAAACAAAATGCAGTTCCTCTGCGGAGCCAGGATTTCTGTCCTTTTGGTTTTGATAATATTTCTTCCTTCATTCCGGCCAGAACCTCGGGGAAAACTGTGAAGAAGATGAAGTGTCTGGTGCGCTTGGACTGTCCTCTCTGTACCTTTGATTCTATTCCCACGTACCCTTCTGGAGGGCTGGTGGCTTTATACTGTCACTCTCTCTTTCCCCGGATTGCCAAGCAATCCAATAAAACCGCTCACACTAGGGGTTAGGGATCCTTGCACACAATGAAGTAAGTGGAAAGGGAGCCTAGCTTTGGAGTCCAGAGGATTTAAACCCAGTCGTGGCTCCGCTGGCTTCTTGGGGGACTTAGGCAATACTTATCCTTTCTGAGACTCTTGTTTCTTCATCAGCAAAATGAGAATAAGAATGATAAAACTGACCTCACAGGCGAGAAGTAAAAATTAGATGAGATCTCCAAAGTGCTTTATAATCCCAAAGGGTTCTGATGATCTGTTTGTCCATTTCAGGGGTTGTAATTAGTAGAAACTTACCCGAGCTAGCTTAAAAATTTAGATTTGACCGATCAAGTCAAGATAGGCAAGATCCAGAGGGCAAAAATCCGAGTTCTTTGTCCCCACATACAGCAGATCTTACTTGAGTTGGAGTCTCTGGTTCTTCTTTTAGCCTTGTAGGCCACAAAATGAAGTTAAGCTCTCCTGGCCTTCCTTGCATCTATGTTGAACTGCCTGACCGAGAGCTGGCAAATGGATGGTAGAAGACAGTGATACATGTCTTTCCCAGGTCTGGTTACAAAATGTCCCAAGTGACCTTTCATGTTCCTTCTTCCCCTCACCCCTCTCCTGGCTGGGATGCTGCCAGGGACATCTTGAAACCACAAAGATGGTGGAGACAGATAGAAGGAGCCTGGATCCCTGAGTCACCACTTGGAGAGAGCTCAATGGGGAGCTGTCCAGCCAAGCACATTACTTTGAACTTGGAGCGAGCAAGAAATAAGCTTGTTTTGAGTGAAACCACTGAGGTTTGGGGTTGTTTCTTCTAGTGGGTAGTCAGTCAATCTCCCTAGACCATGTCTCAAGTCTGCTGCTCTCTGGCCCCTGTAGCATTGATCTCTCCTGTAATATACCACTTTCTCTGGCTTTTATACATCTTAGCAGAAAAGGGCCACCAGCAATAGCAACCAACTGACCTCTCCATTTAACAGATCAGCTTCATTACACTACGAATACTTAGTTTCAAATCCTTTGAGAAGCCTGAGCTAAGACCAGCTGGCACTGGCTGTCAATCCCTGAACCAATCAACATGGGGTTGTCCATGAGGATAAAAAGGAGGGGCGATTCCCCAGAAAAGCGGTGCTTTTCATCACCAGCCACGGCAAAGATCTAAATTCAAAATCCAAGGTAAGGTTTCTGCTGAGTATGTATTGCTTTTGCATCATAGAGTTGGACCATCATAAGTCAGACACTGTCTTTATGGGGAGAGGGGGACATACTTCTCTTCTTATATACCCCCAAATAATGAATCTCTAAGGATGGCTTTTCTCTTATCAGGGGCTGGGTGGGTTTTCCCAACTGCCCTCATGTGGTTTTAATGCAGCATTATTACTCTTTAGTGTTGTGAGGCACAGAGTTAGGTGCTACATACCCCGGCCTGTGGGCCACACCAACATGGGGGCCACCACCTTCATTTCTGCAGTAGACAAGGGATAAGAAGCGTTATCTCATCCATTGGTGCTTGGAATACGATGCAAAGAAGTCCACAGAGTGACCTTGGGATGGTGCTGCTCTATATGTAGACAAAGATAGGAGTCTGATCTCCCTAAGGCATCTTGCTTGGAGTGTGCTTTCCCCTCTGCCTGGAATAGTGCTTTTCCTTCTCCAGTAAATGATTCCAGCTCACATGAGGACTCTGCTCAAGTGCACCTTTAGAAGTGGCCCACCCACACTTGAGATTAGACCTTTTGTCCTTTGTGCTCCATTATGACACCTAAATATGATCCGGGTTTTTTTTTAGTAACATTTTTCCCCTTCAGTTGTACAAATCAAAACGTGTTGACACTGGTTATGGTATAGACATGGATGAGTGCCCAAGGGTTCCTTCCCTTTCCCTTTGCTCTGGCTTCCTGTCTTGACAAGTGATCCCTCTCCCTCTCATGTGTTCTCCCACCATTATGATCACATCTTCCATGAGGTCCTGATGAGATCTGAGTTTATCCTGGTATCAGTATAAATCCTTGAACCTCTAGAACTATAAGCTGAATAAACCTCTTTTTTAGTAATTTACCCAGCCTCTGGTATTTTGTTATAGTAATGTAAAACTGACTAATACAATGCTACAAACTTTGGAAAGTCCAAATAAGCACAAAAAATAAAATAAAAATCTCTCATTATTTCATTGTTTCAGGGGGAATATATGTATGTACATGTACACATAATTTATTTTAAAATTTTTTTGATTTTGTACTAACTTTTGTCTTTTAACTATATGTCATGAAGGATTTTCCATTCAGCTACAGTACAGTTATTACAAAGCATGTAATAGCTTATGGATGTCCCATAATTTGCTTATCCAAATTCTTATTAATGTAAAGTTATGATTGTTTCTAAATTTTTATTGTAGTAAATAATCATGAGATTAAACAGACCTGTATATAAAGCTTTGCCAACTTCCCCGATTATGTAAGATAAAATTCTAAGAAATAGAATTGCTTGGTCAAGGGTATGCAGATAAGATAAAAACAAGATGAGATAAAAAAGTGAGAAAGCAACAAGAGTTATTGTTTGTGGTCTCTTTCTAAGAAAGAACAAAACTGGGCTGGGGATGTTGCTCAGTGGTAGAGTACTTGCCTAGCATGTGCAGGCCCTGGGTTCAAACCCGAACCACAAAAAATAAAATTTTAAAAAGAAAGGAAAAATAAAAAGAAAGAAGAGAAACTTCGGAAAGAAAGAGAAAGAGCTTCCCAAGATTTCTCCTCCCTAGCTGATCTCTTGTGTCTCACGGACAGAATTGCATTACATGCATATATATGTAGAGACCAGGAATTGACAATGAAAGTTGGACTACATGATTGACTTAGACCACCCAGATGTGTCCTAAGGGTTTCAAATTCTCAAAACAATAATTTTTTTTTTTTTTTTTTTTGCTATTAAGGAAGATTTAGGAATAGCTGTAGTCCAGGAACAAAGTTTAACAAATGTTTTAAAATATTTTCTAATTTGATAGCTGACAAATCCTTTCCTGTTGTCATCTTTGTTTACATTTCTTTGAATCACGGTGGGTGTAAACATTTTGTTCAAGTATCTGTTAGTCATGGTCTTTCTTCTGTGATTTGCTGAATCACAGTATTTCATGTATCATGGACAAAAGTACATCCTTTCAAAAGTGACTGGGTTTTATTGTTTGAATCCTACAGAGCCCCAAACCACATCTGACATGGTTGGCACAAGGTAAAGATTTGTCAGATAACAAATGTCTACATGCACACAGGCCTACGCACAGTTCAGCGCATATTTTACAGTAATAAATAGGAATAGGTGGGAGAGTGGTTCACAGTGCAGACACTAAAAGGTTGTGGAGAACAAACAAGGAATCCTAGAAACTGAATAGCAGATTTTTCCTGGGACGAGTCAGGCAGGCGTGTCCACACTCAGCCTCCTTCTCCGTTAGTTCAATGTGTTTTTCACTGGTGAGCATTTAAGTCAGTTTTTACAATGAACATTACAATGTCATCCTTGTTTAAGCAGAAAGAGTGCTGATGGGCTATTGGGGGCGGGGGGGAATCTATCACTAGAAAAAACCCAAACCCAGACATTAATTGTAGAATTGCTCACCCTGTGATCCTTTTGTTAATGAGTCCTGTGTAATTATCACCCCGTTTTATGAGTGTGAATTTGCAGTTAGAAGAAATTGGTCATGGTTTCTTATGGCTAAAATTATAGAACTCTAGAGAGCAACGGCAAGAAATATCGGTCTATTGCCAGAGAAGTAATATGGTGAGTCATTGGTTTGAATCCTGAGGTTTATGGGAACTCAATAAGCAAGAGGAACTCTCAGAAACTTCTTTGGGAGGGAGGAGCATCGTTTGTCTTACACACCCAGGAACCTGAAGTTCTGAGTGAGGAAAGTGAACAGATATTTATCTCACAATTAAAAAATTTAAAAAGGAATATTTTTTTTTTGTTTAGGGATGTAGAAACAAAGAATTGTCTTCTATGGAGCCTTAAATAAATGAATTGATCTCCTTTATTATGTGACTAATGATCTCTATTAGCATATTGGTGAATCAGCGCTCCGTGATTGACTTAGAATATGAATAATTATGAATAATTATGCAGCCTTCAGTTCATCAATAACCAATTACCTGGTTATGTTAACATAAAAACCTTCGTGTAGGAATAGTTACTTAGCATTGTAATAGTTGGTGATGCTACTAAATTGACTTTTACAATCATTTATCTGAATCTAACAGTTCATGCTCATGGTTGGCTTTTCTTATTTTCTTAACCTCAGGGAAAGGATGCCTTAAATCACTCCTGCTTTTTTTTTTTTTTCAATAGTTAAAAATTAAAATGACTTTTGCAATTTTGAAAGCTACTTGGATCATTCAGAGGCTGTGTGATTGATTACAAAATTATATAATTGGTTGCAAAAGTCTGAAAGCATCCTCCAAATCTTGACAAGAGGGCCATCGATGGCAATGACGAACGGATGGGAACCACGAGGAGGCACTTGTTGAAATTCATTTACCTTCCCTGGCATTCAGGTATGTGAAAAGACCACAATACTGGTAAGACAGGCCCTACGTTCCTGCAGCCACAGTCCTCTTCCCACCCACACATGAGTTTCTGACCATGGGTGGAATTCCCTGGAACCCAAACCTGCTTGCTCATTTTATAATAATCGTCATGGTATCAAGTTTGAACTGATATTATGGACAGAATGTTTGCATACCCCCCCACCAAAACAAACAAACAAACAAACAAAAACCTCCATCTGTTGAAGCCCTAAGCACCAATTTGAAGGTGGTGCCTTGGAAAATAATTAGGGCTAAGTTAGGTCATGAGGTTGGGATCTTTACAATGGGATTAGTGTCCCCATGAAAAGAGGAGGAGCTTTCTCTGTGCTTTATGAAGACATAGTGAGAAGGCGACTGTCTACAAGCCAGGAAGAGCTTTTGCCAGGAACTAAATCGACTGGAACCTTCATCTTGGACGTTGAGGCCTCCAGAAGTGTGAGAAATTTCTGTTGCTTAACCCAGACAGTCTCCTGTACTCATTTTGTGAAGGTAGCCCAAGCAGCCTAAGAGACTTGAAGTTTAGGCTTCTGAGGATTTGATAAACAAATTGGACTTCTCAGAGATACTGTTTGATGGCCGAACTTTCCTTTGTATTCATTCTTTCCTCATTTTTGTCAATAATCATTATCACACCTCATCAGCAATCATGGTACCTACAAGTTCATTGCTTTATCAGATAAGTATTTATCAAGCATGTATTAATGTAGCTATTTTGGCCTTAAGCTCTGAATAGGGTACAAAAAAGAATGAGCACCCATCATTGTAATTGAAACTCTCAATTTATACCTGAATTATTATTAAATAAATGATGACTGTCACAAGGGGACTGGACTCAACTAGGTGCTGTGGGAACCCAGGGTGTAAGATTTTCAGAGGATTCTAGCAAAGCTTCTAAGATGTGGGACATTTGAGTTTCGCTAAGTAATAAAAAATGTGTGTGAAAATTAATATTAATACCCTAATGTCATAGGTCATAAATTATGAAAAATATTAAGCATACAGAAAGTGCTATAATAGACTTGTATACGTCTGTGAAATAATACAAGTAACTTTTTGTTTTGTTTTGTTTTTAGATATCCCTCCTCACTTTTTATTTTAACTTTTAGAATTAAAATGTAATCATTACAGTTTTGGTCTTATCCTTCATCGCTTTTATTATTCCTTACTCAGAAGTAATAGCTAAATTGATAAGCATCGCTATACATGTTTCAGAATGCTTACTCATGGCAAATATGTACTTATAGTTTTGTTATATGTATGTTTTAATGCACATGATAGCATTCTTCTAAAACTTGCTGTTTTTGTGTACCCATGTTTTTGAAACTTATTAGATGTTAATAGGTTATTTCTCCACATTTTTTTTTGGAGGGGCCATAAGTCAGTAACATAATGAACATCCATATATACATCTTGGGCACTTGAAGGCATATTCTCTATTTAGGTGTCTAGAGCTAGACACTGGAGTATTAAACACCATTCTAAAGAAATTCTTTGCATTTTAATCATTTCAAGAAGATGTTGTTCCTACTAGGAAGGTACTTCACCCATGAACATGAACTACAGTATGAACCTAGTTAATAACAGTAATAAAATAACCACAATCACAATTTATTGGCGATTTCCTGTGTGCCTGGTATTGGTACAAATGATTTACCTGAGTAAACTAACTTAACATTTGCAAAAGATACATTTAATACATGATCAGGTAGATAATACTACCAGTCCTTTGAGTTCACTGCATTGGATGGGAGGAGACCATCAGACATAGCTTTTTCTCACATCTCATTGGCCAGAGCTCAGTCATATGACCATACATAGTTGCAAAGGAGGCTGGGAAGCCTATGTTAAGCTGGGTGAGTATGTGCCCAGGCAAAACTTGCTAGTTTCTTCACCAAAGACAAAAGAGGAGAACGGATATTAGGAAACAATTATAATCTTTGTTTATAAAATTAGTATTCATTTTTAAAGATGTAGAAAACTGAAGAACAGAGAATGAAATGACTTGTCCATAATCACTTATTGGTAACTCGTGGACATGGTATTTAAGTTCTGTGTTTTTTTGTTTGCTTGTTTGTTTTTGGTCTTGACAGGTCCAACAGTCTGTCCCATTATTAAACCCTCCAGGTTCAAAGCTGTTCTTTTATAAACAATCCATGAAGGAAATGTGATGTTGGTTTTCTATGATTTTTCTTACAGTTTTCATTGTTAAGAAAATATTTCTGGGAGCAAGTTACTGCAGTTTCAAATCACTTGATTTTATTTAGCCAACAATATAAGACCTAAAAAACTCAGGGCTCAATGTCTGCTATTTGACCAGATCCTAAGCTCTCACTTGACTCCTCAAGGATCTTCTAAGAGTTCTTAACCTCTGGCAGATGGGAGTCATCCAATGATGTGGGACTAAGACAGACTGGTTCTTACTTAGCTGTTTTGAATCCATTCCAAATAATGCTTCCTTGTCAATAACTCAGGATGTGTGATCATTACTGGGGTCATGCATTTTGGACATTAGTTGTTTGCAGAGCACTGCTTTTTTTTTTTTTTTTTTTTGTGTACTCTACGTGTGGAGGAAGGGGAGGCACAGAATATTCAACAAGATCAAAAAAATCAAAGATCACTCTCCTTTCAGCTGAGGGCTTTCCAAGTGAGAACCACAGCTGGTCAGGATGAAAAAAGAAGTTATCCCCAAGAAGGTAGTTTGAAGACAAAAGGTAATAATGACAAACAAGGAAAATGAAAAATGGTGAACTCCATTTGGTGTAAAATAGTTGAGTTATAGTGTATAATCTGAAATTGTGTTGCCAACCAAAGCAAGCCCAACCATCACTAAAAAATACATTTGCGTCATTTACCAACCAAGGGATCAACACAAAAGTTTGGATGATTTGGTAAGGATATGGATTTCTCAAAACTTTAATAAGGAGCGTTGAATATTTTAACAATAATCTTCTCAAGCTAACAAAAAGAAAAATAAAGGGTAAAATGAGGAAAAAGTCAAGAATATGGTATATAAAATTAAAAATTACTCAGATACTATTGTGACATGTTCACATATAGTTTTCATTACTATATTAAACATTTTTTGAGTGCAAGCAAGAATGACAATGGGATTCAAGTTACATATATGACACTTTACAGTTTTAAAATTTTTAAACCATGTGCAATGGTGCACGCAATGGTGCTGTAATCCCAGCAGCTTGGGAGGCTGAGGCAGGAGGATTGTGAGTGCAAAAGCCAGACTCAGCAATGGCGAGGCACTAAGCAACTAATTGTGACCCTGTCTCTAAAAAAAACTGGGGACATGGCTCAGTGGTTAAGTGCTCATGAGTTCAATCCTCCGTACTAAAAAAAAAAAAAAAAAAAAAAAAAATAGGGCTGGGGATGTCGCTTAGTGTCCCTGAATTAAATTCCCAATGCCCAAATAAATAAATAATTTTTTTTCATGTGATTATTTCATTGGACACAGGTTGAAATCAAAAAGCAGTTCCACTCAGGAGCTCAAGATAAAAGGAGGAGGTAAAAGTAGCATAAAAGAATGTACTGAAGAAAGTGGGAAATATCCCCAGGGAAGGTGTAGGAAATTTAGAGAGAGATTATTGCAGTAGCCCCATAAGTAGTCTCCACATGTGTGAGACCTTGTCTGTGGCTTTGTAGCTCCAACCCTGCCCTTTTTTTTTTTTGGTACTGGGATTGAACTCAGGGCATTTGACCACTGAGCCACATGCCCAGCCCTGTTTATTTTATTTTATTTAGAGACAAGGTCTCACTGAGTTGCTAAGCACCTCACCATTGCTGAGACTGGCTTTGAATTCAAAATCCTCCTGTCTCCGCCTCATGAGCCACTGGGATTTCAGGTGTGACCACTGTGCCCAGCCAACCCTGCCCTTTGATGATCTCTTCTGTTTTGCAAGGAACTGGAAATCTGAAAACTACATTTTTCCTGGTTAGATTTTGCTAGGAATAGAAAACACTGGCTCGAGATTAGAATGTGCTTTTAATAATCTACTCCCAAAGCTGGCTGTTGGTTAGGCGGGAGCCTCTGCCTTCGTGAGCTTTATGGTGTGTTGCTGGGGGTAGAACCCAGGCCTCCTGCATCCTAGGTTGGGGCTGAGCCAATGAGCTACAGTCCCAGCCCGCCCTCAGGAGCTTTAATCAAACAAAACTGGGTTTGCTTTTACTCAGGCCAACAAAACAAACAAAAGTGATTCAGCTGAGGTTGATCTTTCAGGTCCCTGACATGCTTTTTCACACTTTATCTGACTCTTCCATCAGACTCCAGAATGGACAACCAACGTTTTTTGTGGTTTTTTTTTTTTTTTTTTTTTGTGTGTGTGTGTTTCTAAGGAAAAATAGCTGATAAACAGATTGCATCCCATAAGGCCCAGGCAGGCGAGTGCTAGTCCATTCAGTCTTTGCATAAAATGGGAAAGACTTCCATGAGAACAAAGTCCTAGACCAGGATCATAGTTTGGCAAAGGGAGCATCGGCTGGGTTTCAGCACTCACTCACCTCCTTAGGTAGGTGTCTGTGCCCATTGAATAGCCTGCACAACCTCACATGGTTGGCCTGGGCCACACCTCAATCAGACTCGCTCAGGTTTACCACTGGGAACTTTATTCCTACCACAGAGGGATCTCCCTATGGCTGTGACTGGTACCATTTCATAGATACCCAGACAGACGTTCATTTCTCCACTTATTCACTCATAAATAATATTAGACGTCTACTGTGTTCTTGGTTCTATGCCAGGCTCTTTTGAAACTAATGAGACAGGAAGTTCTTAAGATGATGATAACACAAAGGCTGGGGCTGGGGCTCAGGGATTGAGTGCTTGCCCAGCATGTATGAGGCACCGGGTCTGATTCTCACCACCGCATATAATAGAATAAAAAATAAAGGTCCATTGACAACTAAAAAAAAAAAAAAAAAAAAAAAAAAGATGATGATAACGCAGTCACCAGAGGTAGGTCAAGGCTTGCAGAGAAGTAACCTTTGTGTATGATAATGTTGAGAAGGGAGGTTCTGTGCTCCAGTTCTTTCCTTACCTGGCCTCCACCTGCCTTCACCTTTACCTTCACCTTCAAGGCTTAGTCCCAGTTGTTTACAGTGCCTTTTCTTGGCTTGAGGTCCCATTAGATCAGGTCTTCAGGACTGAAATGAGATCAAGTGTGGGATGGAAAGGTGAGCTTCCTGCAACTTAAGCCCTGCGGGTATGATTCCATCCTAACTGGGTACCCCTCCTTCCGCTTTATTTTTTCCTCCTCACCCCAGGGCTTGGTTGTTTTCTCCCTTTCCCACCACTGACAGCTTCTGGATGGGTTTTGCTTTAAAAAATAAGTTTTGTTTTAGGGCTGCAGGTGTAGCTCAGGGGTAAAGTGTGTGCTTTGCATGCAGAAGGCTGGGGGTTCCATTTCCAGCACCACAAAATAAAAACAAACAAACAAACCAATACACAAATGTTATTGTATAGTTTTGAGGTTCACTATACGATGCTATGGGATACATATAGATAAATGGTTGCTATGATGAATCAGGTTGACATCTGTCATCTCAATAGTTACTGCTTGTGATAAAGAAACCTCCACTTTTTCATTGGTGCATTATAGTTGTACCTAATGGTGGGATTTGTTGTAATTTGTTAGTGCATGCACACAATATAATAACATAATTTAATCAATATTATTCCCCAGTACACCCTCCCTCTCTCTTCTTCTTCTACCCTTGGTCTATTTCCTCTCTCCTACTGACCTCCCTTTGATTTTCAAGAAATCCTCCTCACTTTTCCTTTTTCCTCTCTTGCTTCCACATATAAGAGAAAACATACCGCCCTTGACCTTCTGAGTTTAACTTATTTTGATTAACGTAATGTTCTCAAATTCCATCCATTTTCCTACAAATGATAGAATTTTATTTTTCTTTATGGCTGAATTAAACTCTACTGTGTATTTATATCCTGTTTTCTACATCGGACACCTAGGCTGCTTCCATAGTTTGGCTATTGTGAACCGCGCTGTATAGACATGGTCTACCAACACTCTCTGAAGCTGTGTGCCACGTGACTCTGCATGGTGTGCCTCCTACCACCAGGACCTGTGAGTAGAATAAGTTTGCTTGCCTGAGCCTCTTCTTTGTCTCTTTTTTGTGGTTGCCCCTGACTGTCTCATGAAAGAGCACTCCCTAGCCCAAGTCTAATAGTGAGGGGACCCTACCAGGATTATCTTTAGTCTTCCAAACCTCCTAGAAAACACGATGACTCCTCTTGTGGTTTCCTGAGTGCGTGAGGGGATGTAGGGCAGGTGTGAAATCACACACTGTTATTTGCAGAATCTGGGGCACTTTACAAAAGCGCTGGAGATAAAATTCAAGGAACAGTTTCATCAGGATGGGCACAGGGTGTTACAAACGCAATCAGGGAGAAAGACTGGAGAGAATGTGAAACCGTGCAACTTGGGGAGGTTATGTGATTCTGTGCTGTTTGGAAGTCAACACACTTACTTTCATGCAAATCATGTATCGCTCTACAGGACTCATTGTTCAAAGATAATATAAAAAGAAATCCTTCTTTCTTTACCTTTGTCCCAGGAGACTTCCTGTTGGCTGAAAAGGCCGAGAGGAAAGGTATTCACAGAGGTTTATAAGCATGAATTAAAGCTTAGGGCTGTTCCCCAAGGACCACGTGGCCTGGAATTCAGCCTGCATTTATGAATAATGCAAAGAGACACCAGGGTGGACCTTGCTAACTCTACTCCACAGCGCTCTCTTTTATTTAACCCAGACCTGGGTTTGTTTACTAGCAAGCTCATTAACCTTTGCGACTTCCTGTCCTCATCTGAAAATGAGGACAATAACAATTCCGACTTCACAGGACTGTTGTGACTACTGGAAGAGATAATGCATTTGAAGTGCCTGGCATATAGAGACACTTGATAAATGCCAGCTCTTCTTCATTTCTACCTCCTCTGAATTCTTAAAAGGCTTTGCCTTGAGTGCCTCATCATTTGGTTGCTAATTGCATATGATCTTATGCAATTTGCTGTTGCTTCCAAGTAAATCTTTCTTACACATCACAGAATTTACCAAGGAGACACCATCTTAATAATGTCTAAATTTTGTTCTGCTTTATGGTGTATGAAGTTGGTCTGAAGATTTCTTTTCTATGTCTTTTGAATTCTCCTCTTGCCCAACATAGGCAAAGTGCTCTGCAATCTGTGTTAACTGATTGATGGCTCATTATCAGAAAGGCAACTCCCTCTGGAAGTTACTTCAATGAGTGTGAGTCACAGAGTTACACTTTGAAGCAAGAGCATGGTGTATTTGCAACATCCTGAAAGAAAACTTGTCACCTTGAGAATTCTCAGTCCTCTAGATTCAATATAAAATGATTGTTAATTCTTTTTCATGAGAGCCCTGGGCTAAAGTTAAAAAGTACCAGTGGCACACTGTCCTTTGAAGAGGAAAGCACAATACTGTAATGGGTAGAGCCCATTGCTAAGCAACAGAATCAGGTCTAGACTGCACAGGAGCAAAAATTCTTCTTTGTTCAGGATGATGAAGAATCATCAAATGGAAAATGCTTAATAGAATCTTTACCTGCAACAATAGCACTCATTATTTTTCAAAGCACGAATCGGCAGTTGATAACTAATTTTTATGGGAATTTCTGACAATAGCTCACAGCTTTATTTTCTAAATGAAGGATGTTTGAGGTGAAGTTTTCAGATAATCAATTTTGTGGAAGGCTGACATCTGGATCAGAGTCACTGGTCCCTGTGTTCTTGGATTAATCTAGGATTATAAAAATCCATCTCAAATAATTTCAGTACTGGCTAATTCTGATAAGAATATGTTTGTCAGCGTAGCTTAAAACGCTGGTTTCCAGATAAGCATCTTCTGGGAACCTGTTAGAATGCAAATTCTTGAGCCCCATCCCAGGCCTATTGAGTAAGAAAACACTGGGAGTGGGACCAGTTCTCTGCATTTTCTCAAACCCACCAGGTGACTCAGATGCAGTTCTAAAACCACTGTGTTAGAGGATCTGGATCACTGTGTGAGACACACACGTACACAGGAAAGAGTTAATACAGTTTGTACTAGTGGCCCCTTTGAACCAGTGTTGAACTGCTGAATCATTTTGAACCGAGGAAGAAATTTATTCTTGTGACTCAGACTGTAACCACAGAGAAAATAGCACATGAAATGAAGGAGACTCTTCAAGGTAGCCTTCCCTCGCTTCCTGCTAGAACCCAAGCTATCCACAAACACCTTCCACTTGCTTCCATACAATAAAAAGAAGGCACTACTTAATGAGGTCCTTTGTCCATCCAGTATTCATGGGGCCACTTCGATGGGGCAGGCAGCCTGGCAGGTATTGCAAATAACTATTTGTAATAAAAAAATGGCATTTTGCCCTGTTGACCATAATAGGCTTATGCAGAACTGGAGGAGAGAGTCATTTCTTGGAAGTTGGAAATTTGAACAGACCAGAGTAATAGCCAAGAGGAATGTCAGTAGTTAAGGTGTAGAAATATGTTAATGACATAGCTGTAACTTTGGCACATTAAAGATGGCTGCTCATACCTCCCCTTGAGAGGCAGGACCTATTTCTCTTCTTGGGTCTGTGCTGTGACTGCTTTATTGAGAGAAAATAACTGAAGGGACTCGGCAGTTTCAGCCTAGACTTGGAAGAAGACTGATGGCTTCTGCCCTGTTCTCTTGGAGCCCTGAGCTGCCATGTAAGACATTTGACTACCCTGCCGGAGGGAGCAGGGGCAGTGCCCTGAGATGACATCGAGAAGGAGAGGGGTTCTGCTGAGCCCAGCCTTTCAGGCAAGTTTAGGAATAAAGCCAGACAAGCTACCAGATGAACACCACCAAGTACCCCCTGACTGACACCACATGGAGCAGAAGAATTGCTCAGCCATGCCCTAAATTCCCAGCCTGCAAAGCTGCCAGGTGTATATAAAAGGGTGGTTTAAGCCACTAAACTTGGCCGCCATTTGTCATGCAGCAATAGACAACCCTGCACTTGCAGCCACTGCTGACAGGGATGGAGAGTGTTCTGACATGAGTAAAGAGCAGGTCTCACAAGGAATCAGGTAGAACGATAAGGTACGACAAAGAGGAGCAGAAGCAGGATGCCGTAGAAGGAGACAGACCACTCTAAGTTAGTGTTTCACCCAAAGCCAGTGAGGTGACCCGGGAAGCCAACACTGGAGTCACAGTGCTGTTACATCTGTAGAGCAAAATGGTTCAGAGCTCAGGGTCTGCAGTGAGGCCGTCATTACTGGCTGTACCCTCAGAAGACACGCTCGGGTTTGCTAAGGTCCAAGTACTCGAGGGGTACAGCAGTTCCTGCCTGGTGTGAAGATGGCACGAGATGACCCACAGAGCAGTGCTTTATCCCAATTCCTGGCCATGCAGGTTCTGGGCTGCTGGTCTTTACATTATGCCTGTCCCCTGCCCTGCTCTACCTGCTGGGCTCTCTGGGCTTCAGGTTGCATGACTTCCTGTGAGTTCAGCCATTGAGGAAATGGCAGGGGGACAATGGCAATGCCAGGGATGAGAAGCTGAGAAGCTGTTATTCATATTCCCTAACTTTCTCTTTTAGCCTTTTGTTGCCCATTTCCTATTTGTGACCTTCTGAATTGTTTTCCTCCTCAACCCTTTCTTTCTGAGGACATAGTCTTTCTTCTCATGTCCTGGGTTTATGTTGGATGGTCTCCAACTCAGCTTCCCACCCTCTGTGCATCCAGGATTTTGTCTCCAGCCTTCCCCTCCTCCCAACCTCTCCCCCACTCCACCCCACTAAATTTCTAGACCTAAAATCTACAGATGGGTCTCAGGTACTATGGGCTCCATCACCTCCCTGGACTCATGGTCCAAGAGGAATGCTTTTATTTTTCCATGGGCTCATCTATTTGAAAGGAGCAACTTGTACTTTATCTCGCACGTTCAACACCGTGTCGCATTAGGTTTCATGATCTTTCATCCACCCTGTTGCCAGAAATATTAAAAAGTTGATTTAACGTTAAGTCCTTAGTAAACCCTACCATGTTTACTCCAGGCTCTTGGTCATTTTGATGAATTCCTCCAGTTTTTAAAAGCTCCTCCTATGATCAGAATGTTTGTGTGCCCACACCCCAATCAGTGTGTTGAAACCCAATCACTGATGTGAAGTTATTAAGAAGTAGGGCCTTCTGCAGGCGCTGCCCTCAGGAGTGGAATTGGGAGTCCTTTATAAAAGAGGCCTAGAGAGCAGGGCCATGGAAAGACCCTGGAAACAGGGTCTCACCAGACACCAAATCTCCTGGCACTTTGATCTTGATAGCCTGCTGGCCACCATCCTATAAAAAATAAATTTTCCGTCACTCAGTTTATGGTATTTTGTCCTGGCAGCCTAAAGGTACTGCAACAATTGGAAATTAAAATAAATGCTTCATGCACAATTCAGAGTGTCGTCTCCAGTGGGCAGATACGGGCAGTCACTTTTCTGGTGCCCAAGGTAGCAGATGGAATTGTGAGTGAAATAATCCTTTATGTAGAAGTATCCTTTGAGTTATAGGCCCTTTAGCATTCTCGTTTTCTAGACACCAAATGTCAGGGGTTCTCCTTTATTGTTATGACAACCAAAAAAAAAAAAAATTTCACATATTTCCAAATGCCAGAGTTTTCTGTTGAAAGTCACTGGGGGGTGGGGAAGAAAGTACCCATTTAGAGAATCCACCAGGAGAACCTTTCCTGTTTTGATGTGCTATAAATTACAGTTGCATCTATGACAACTGATTTTTCCAAGAGATCATTTATCAGGATTATGTAGTAATTTTGTTTCTCCCTGTAGACACTAAGGTGAAATGGTGTCCATTGCTTATTGTACAGAAAACTGGTAACTCTGAAAAGTTCTAAAGGAAAAAAAATGTAAAGTCTAGAAGAAGAATATAGGCACATCGATATCATACGCTTGGCTTCATTTTGAAAGACTGAAGTCACGTATATTATGAACTCAGGCAGAATGATTAAAAAGACCATCGATGAGTTTTTGGGTTGATTGAGAATTGTATTTAGTAAATGATGTAATTTCATTATAAAAGCTACT